ATTCTGATTTTTTTTTCTCGAACATTGTGACTCTAGTATACTATTGTATAAGTTTCCTAAAGATTAGCCAAAATAAAAATGATACTCTATGTGACAACACTTTTTCGAGTAAACTGGAAAATATGACTGTTGTAAAAGTGTTGTATATATGTCTGTATGATACTAGGGAGGCTAACTGAATCTTCCATACAAACATTTTATACAAAATACATCATAATGGTTTTATAAAAATGATATTTTGGAAAGAAAAAAACTATCAAAATACAAGAGAAGCAAAAATGAATGTGAAATCAAAGAAATACTGTTTTAGTTTGTTAACGAATGTAAAAAGAATAGTGTGGAAAAATCCTCCAGATCTGTGGAGAGATAGTCAAGTTGTGAAGGTTAATAGTGGAAAAAATGATTCTAGGAAAGTGTGTTAAATATAAAATTCCATGAAGAAATCTAACAAAACGCGTGATTGCAAATGTGGAAAAAAATACCATAGTGAAATTAGGAAATAAAACCTGAGCGCTTTCTGAAGATGTGTGTGTAAGCACACGAAAGCATTCAGATTCTATTTTGTATTTTTACTGCGGTTTCTTTTCGTAAAATTACATATTAATGATCCTTATGCAGTAGATAGGCTTTAAATACCATCTACCATTTGGAGGAGTGATTGTGTCGCACACGACGTTATGAAGTTGCATCTGGTCGGACGTGTGAGGAATACAAAGCAGCTCAAAGTTATTGAGTTGTATGGGAGAAGTAATACTGATCTCACTCACGAAACTTAAATATGGAATCCAATAAGGAAGAGGTAATATAAAAGAGGTCAATATTGATTCATATTTAAAATTGGGTAAGCAGTGAAAGGCATGAGTAACGAAGGTACTCAGATAATTAGAAAAATAATTACAAATAAATATAAATATAAAAATCCTTGTTGAGAGCAGGTTCAGAGGACGAGGCAGAAACTTATGATCTACCATATAAAATAACGTGTTAGACCTTCATGTTTTTTTATATTTCATATATTTTTAAAAAATCATATGAAAAGTACCATGAAATATATGAAATTGGTTATTTTGACTCTAAAATAATGAATTTTTAGTCATAATACCTTGGGAGATAAACAATTAGTTGAGAGACAATCAGACACAATAATTAGAGAGACTCGGGTGACACGAGGATGGAGGAGACGCTAGAGAATGTAACTATTATTGTGTAACCTTGTAATGAGACTCTTAAGTGGGAGCCAGAATTTATTTTTCTCTTCGTCTTAACTCTAAAGTGTCGTTGACTATTTAAATTTTCAGCACAGATTTTTTTTTTCAGCTTGGGTTTTCAGGTTTATATGACGAAGTATATTGATACATTCAAACACATTCATCATACTCATCATTCACACAGTGGTCACCTGATTTTGATTTACTGTAACCAGGAAAGGATTCATGAAAAAAAATATTTGGGTGAGAAGTGTCCCTCTGGTGAGTGTTGTATAAACCAATTTTTTTTTTTTTTTTTTTTTATTCGCCGGTATTCTCCCGGCCCGGGTCTTTTCCAAGTAGTGGTGACCCGGCCTTGGCTCCCTATCTGGGGAGTGTCTCGAGACTTAAGTCTCCCATGGGAGGAGGCACAAGTACCTCCTCATCTTTGGGACCAAGTGTCCCCAGGCCTAGCCAAAGTCCCCGCCCTCACGGGGCTCGTAGGGAGAAGCTAGGCCTCTGGTCTGCCATCTGCCCCGCCCCAAAGGGGCTCGTGGGGATGGCAGTCTTATAAACCAATGTTGTTAAATCCTCTATAAACCTTCAACACTGAGAGTGATACTGAAGTGAGTTGGTAAACAGTTTTCCAGTTTTATGAGTAAATTAGTGTGGAATCTTTTACCCTTTAAAACACGTTAAATATGCTTACATATACTTAGCGCAATAACGTGTGGATAAACACAAGATATTTTTAAAAAATCGCATGAAATGTATTATAAAACCAAAGAGATAAGGTATTTTAACTCTAAAATAATGGATTTTTAGTCAAATTTTAAAATTTTTATTGCAAAGTAGGAAATACTCCGAAAAATGTTAATCTTAATTGTCTGGCCAATGATATTACAGCGATTTTAGGGTAAATTTGTGTGCTGATTCTTAATATGTCATCGGTTTTAATTCACTGGGTCTAGTTTTGATAAATTTGGTATCCCACTGAAAAAATACAAGAAATGTAAAATATATTGATCAGGCTAACTTACAAATAGCACTGAAATTACTTTTTAGATTAAGCAAAAGTCAAATAATATAATAATACTAGCACATCACTCTATATAATAACATATTACAATAATAAGATAATTCAGATACCACTAATTACTGCATATGAAAACGTTGTACGATTTTCTTCTATGTTGGTCAACAGCTGAGTCCAGCTGGAGGCTCCAGCATATTGGTTTCCATTGTACAATAAGACACATTTTACGTTTCTAAAGAAGTTGTCTATCGAACAGCCGCCAATCTCTTGGTCGATATTCAATTCCCATTCGAAGAAATTCATGTATGCTATTGTATCTGAAGTAAAGGAGTTCAACCTCTCTTGTCCGATAAGCTGTTATTTCAACTTCTCGTTGGTTGTAGACAGTTCTTTTTTTTTGTAGTCTGGATGCTAAAAGTTCAGATGTTTGATTTGACAGACTGAGGTCACCTATCAGATCACTGATTCTTCATTGAAGAACTGCTGGAGTGTTGAAATGCTTACTTCATATTCACTTCCACTGCTTTCACCTGTGTTACATTCTAAACTCAGAGTTTCTTCAACATCTGACAATGGAAGGTCAGGCAGTGGTGTAAACACTGGTATGGGAACGTCTTCTCTGAGTGGCACAGGTCCCCTGGCTGATTCCAAATCAGGATATCACCCTTGGCTTCATACACTGAGGGTCCGTGGTTCGATTCCTGGCAAGGAGGAAACATTACGCTTGTTTCCTTACACCTGTTGTCCCTGTTCACCCATCAGTAAAATGGGTGCCCGGGTGTTAGTCGATTGGTGTGGGTTGCATCCTGGGACAAAACTGACCTAATTTGCTCGAAATTCTCCACATAACAAGCGGCTTTCTAAATAGCAGTATATCACTGATGTCAGCTAGGCCTGTATACCTTGTACATGTACTTGTAGTAACAAAGATATTATTATTATTCCCACTTGACTTTCTTGTATAGATTGAAATCTTCCACATTCACCACGCAGAAATAACAATCGTCATGGTGGTTGTTGCCACAACACAGGCACAACAAAGTTTAAACTTTTAATTTGCCTATTTCTCACTGTGGTAAGCATTCTACACAGGTCTTTGCAAACCACATGAGGAGCTCAAGACTTGTCATGTTCTCAAAGTGTCACTCCAAAATAAGCAATATAAACTTGTTTTACAAAATCTGTAAAGTTTTTCTTTGCAAAGAGTATTCGCCAGAAATGTAGCAAAATGCGTTCGTGAAGAACTAATGTTTATCTGGAAAAAATAAAATGAAGGTAACAATATTGTCACGTGATCATTGTTGATACAACGACTTTCGTAAAATATTAAATAATTTAAAAATAAAATTCTGATCTTTATTAAAAATAACTATATATACTGTCACTACTTACTATGGCTAAGTTCCCTGTTGAGAGTAAGTATGCAATATCTCACAAGCTAGAGCAAATCTGAAAAACCTACTGACATTGTCGAACTCATCAACCCCAAAATATCCTAAATACCTTTAAGTATCTTTGGCAACAATTTTTTTTTGTTAATTAAAGGGGAGAGGGGGAGGGGTGAAAATTTAGTACAGTTGTAGCAAAAAAGTCATCTGAAAAACTTTAATGTTTTTTTGTGAGAGAAAAAATATCACATGGAAGTATGAGTGGGATAAAAACACAAATATAGTATAAAACGATAAATCGAGAATGTTTGACCCAGGCAGTGGACTTTTGTGAAGTAATTTAAGAAACCCTGTTCGTGGTCGACGGGTTGTCAGTGAAAGATCGCAGTATCCATCATGTCAATATTTTAAATACCAGTTCTCTCCATAAATATCAATATCAACGTGCATGCATAGTTTTAAACTTCACTGCACTGGATTTTGAAGAAGGCCTTGCACTGTTCCTTAAGTGAGAACTGCTGTGGGTGCTTCAGCGAGCACTGCTGTGGGTGCTTCAGTGAGCACTGCTGTGGGTGCTTCAGCGAGCACTGCTGTGGGTGCTTCAGTGAGCACTGCTGTGGGTGCTTCAGCGAGCACTGCTGTGGGTGCTTCAGCGAGCACTGCTGTGGGTGCTTCAGTGAGCACTCCCCTCAAGGAAGGTTCCTTGATGTTTGTGAGGGGCTCTTGATTTAGGGAATTGGATCTGTGCTCCAGTTCCCCGAATTAAGCCTGAATGCCTTCCACATCCCCCCCCCAGGCGCTGTATAATCCTCCGGGTTTAGCGCTTCCCCCTTGATTATAATAATAATAATTCAGTGAGCACTGCTGTGGGTGGTTCAGCGAGCACTGCTGTGGGTGCTTCAGTGAGCACTGCTGTGGGTGGTTCAGTGAGCACTGCTGTGGGGGGGGCTCAGCAGAAGGAGTGGATTTAATTTCCAAGGAGTGGTAATTAATTTTCGAGAAGACAAAGTCATTTCTGCTTTCTCTGGTAATTTCATCTTACTTTCTAAAACAAGTTTGTTTCGTTTTTTGGAGTTGCACTCGTTTTTATTCAAAATGTGTTTTTTATTTATTCACTTTAATTTTTAAGTGTGATGCTTTTAGGTAAATTGTTGCTGGTGGTAGCTTGGGCGATGGCGTTGATGTGTCTTGGAGGAGCTGGAGCAGCTGCTGGGTCCTCATCCACTGTGATGCTAGAACGGGCCCTCCCTCTGGCCAAGGTCAACGTCTCCCAAACCAGCTCCACCAGGGCAAGCGTCTCCCAGACCAGCTCCACCAGGGCTAGCGTCTCCCAGACCAGCCCCACCAGGGCTAGCGTCTCCCAGACCAGCCCCACCAGTAGCTCTAGGCAGTCTCTCCCAAACTAGCTCCACCAGGGCTAACGTCTCCCAGACCAGCTCCACCAGGGCTAGCGTCTCCCAGACCAGCCCCACCAGGGCTAGCGTCTCCCAGACCAGCTCCACCAGGGCTAACGTCTCCCAGACCAGCTCCACCAGGGCTAGTGTCTCTCAGACCAGCCCCACCTGGGAGAGTCATCCCCAGGATGATGACTCCCAGGGCAGCCTCACCTACCTCTCCCAGTACACAAACTACCTCACTGAGAGCGGCCTCCCCGAGGATCCTCAGAGCAGCATCGCTGAGGATATCAACCTCGAGGAATGGCTGTTAAACTACGCAATAAAGGGGTTTTTAGAGACACGGTGGCCGAACAACACAGTCCCGGTTGTTATCTGTAGAATGATGGGAAAGCAGTACAAACCAACGATTTACCAAGCAATGAATCTGCTTAACTCACTAACCTGTCTTAAGTTCGTGAACGCCACTAACAGGCAAAATTATTACCTGAACGTGACTTACGTCGAGGATGCATGCTATTCTCAGTTGGGATACAAAGGCTACCCTTGGGGACACCAGACAGTGAACCTCGCCCCAAGTTGTTTCTATAGTTTTGGCGTGATCGTTCATGAACTATTGCACGCCAGCAGCTTCAGCCACCAGCAGGTAAGGATAGATCGTGACGATTACGTTACCGTTTACAAAAACCGTATCATCAAGAAATTTTACCCGAATTTTGCTATTCGCGATGGTGAGTACGATTACCTTTGGACTGTTGGACTTCCCTACGACTACAACAGCGTCATGCACTACCCGTCTGATGGCTTCTCTCGGAGCGCCATGCACGTGCCCACCCTGGAGGTCAAGAGGGAGTTTAAGGGGATGATAGGACAAAGAGACGGTCCCTCCCGTACAGATATCGCAGTTCTTAACCGGTACTACGAGTGCCAGGAGCACTACCTGGGCGACGACATCCCTGGCGCTGTACCCTACGCAGAATTTCACGCCAGGTACATCAAACTAGACCGCACCAAGAGCGTCTCGGAAAAGTTTACAAAATGGTTTAATTATGTGTCCGCGAAGGTAGCGAAGTGATTTTGTTTATTCACTTATTATATTTTTTTCGGAAGTGAAAAGACTTGAAACTTCCGAAGCCAAGAGCCCCTTTAACAGACTTTGTAATGACATAAGATATGACATGTGTAACGAGGCCTGGTCTCAGACAGAGCCGCGGGGGCGTTGACCCCTGAAACCCTCTCCAGGTAACTCCAGGTAAGGAGTACCTTTAAGAAGTTACCAGATGTTTCCTTCCTCCAACTTTCCATTTTATTTCTCCCATGACTCGAGAACGCCACATCCAATAGATTTTAAATTTTCAATACTTGTGTACAGTAATTTAGATCAAAACTATTGAATACATTCCCAGTATTCTGGAATGGCTCGGATAACTTCCAGAATCTTCAGTGGTGGAACACCAAAACGTTCAAAAAGGCGCCAAAAAATTCTACGACGGTGGAGAGTGAAAGTCAGATGTGTAGGTCAATATTTGACTATTGATGTGTAAAATGATGTAATTTTTTTGTTCCCGTTTAATCTCGTTAAATAATTTTCGGCTTACCTCTTCTGAACGGTATCAATATATATATAATGTCTGATGTATCTCAGAGGATAGTAATTATTAAGTATCGTTTGCGTGTAGCCAGATTTGTTGACATAAAATAGTAAAAAAAAAAAATATTCTTTAGAATCCGTGCCTTAACTGGAGAATGACTTGGCTGATCGGCTTCAAATCTTCATCAATAGTGTGGTTTCCTGAACACAAGTCTCACTCTGCCATCGTGTACCATAAATCAATAATTGAAGAATACTTCTTCTGATTGGTTACACGTTCTTTAGACGAGACATTCAGTAAGAAGGATGATAACCCACCAGTTAAGTCTAAGTACCTGTTAAACTGAAATTTTACCGAAACTGATATAAAAAAACTTAGAATCGTTAGGATCACATCAGTTATTGAAGAATGTCTTTTCTGATCCTCTTCAAACTTTTATTAATGGTGGGATTTATTAAGACAATTTATCACTCACTGAGCTGAAAAAATATTAATTTTCCAGTTTTATTAAGAAAATTGTTTCAAGTGTCATAACGAAAGAATGATTCTTGTGATGCTCTTCAAGACCTAAATACTGGTGGATCTTATAATTGAAAATACTTTTGTATTGTCATTTCTTTGGCCAATTTAATCAAACTGAAGTTTATAAAGATCTAAATTAAATGTTTTTCTTAACAGGATTGTAAAGAATTTTAAACAGAATGAAAATAAGAATATAGAAAAAATAAATAAATAAAATCAGAGGTTCTATGGTGTTTTTTAAATTTATCGAAGGGGAGACTTTGCAATTTTTCGCAACATTTTCACCAACATTTTTGTACCTTTACCAAAAAAATTTAATTTATTACTAGAGAACACCTTAATCGATCGACTTCAAATTCTCAACGACTGTGTAATGTATCCTGGACAAGATTCACGAGACTATTTGCATGTGTGGACGCACTGTGCACAATATAACAGGCCATTCCCAAATTTAGTTTCCGTGTGACGGGTGGAGACAAGTTCCTCTGATCACCAACATTTCAACACTGGTGTATCATACAAGAAGTTTGGTGTATTTATTGGTGAGTGTTGATGCCATTTTGCCACTTGTGATCTCGAAATTGTATAGTATCATTTTACTTCGAGGCTTGTGAAGGGTTCTTGAGTCAAGGAACTGGATTTACCTTCCCATTGTTCTGATCAAATTTGTATGACTCCCATTCCACAGGCTCTATATGACTCTACAGGTTAGGTTCTTTCCTCTGATTAAAATACTGCGGTTAACGGCATCAGTCTTCAATGGCTGATGCGTCGTATAAAATGGACGGAACTTTTCATGGGCTTAAACTGTGTAGTCTCAAATTTTGTTGGATTCTAAACAATGACTGAAAAATACATCTTCTGGACAGTAATAAACTTTTAGTGCTGTGTTTTCCTCAAAGGAAACAATTTCTTGATGTTAGGTAAAAAATTGACGAAAGTAACTGATCAGACAAGTCAGAATTTTTTACTTTATTTGGTTATCGTAGGTTACATCAACTTAATGGTATATATGTGTCTATAACATCTGTGTGTCCTCAAGACCATTGTTAAAAAAATAGTATGTAATGTAGATTAAGGTTACATAAAAATAACTCATTTGAAAGCTGGTTAGTCTTAGTGAAAAGTTTGGATTGATGTACTTTTTTTTAAGGAAATTTGAATATTAGTTTCCCAATGATGACTTGTTTATGCTTCTTCTGATTCCATTCAAAACTTCACAACTAATATTTAACTGCATTATCAACTTATGCCGCACTCTGCACTATTCCAATCGCGTGCACTGAGGTACAGGAGACTGGTGGTACGGGAAACTGGAATGTGTTTCTCGGATCACGCAGCGACCGAAACACATCTAGTTAATTTTTACGTTGTGCCTTCACCGACTACCAGTATACTGGAAAAACTAAAATTTCCGATCAATGCTTGAAAATATATAAAATACTTAAAATATCGAGAAATATTAAGGTTTCTCTTCTCATTTAAAATCTTAAGAATTTCTTCAACCTGACTGACTGCTAGAGTAGCGTCACTCTGACACACACGACGCTACGAGTCACTGACACGCATGCCATTACGAGTCACTGACACACACGACACTACGAGTCACTCTGACATACGTTACTGCTCTACGAGTCACTCTGACATACGTTACTGCTCTACGAGTCACTCTGACATACGTTACTGCTCTACGAGTCACTCTGACACACACGACGCTACGAGTCACTCTGACATACGTTACTGCTCTACGAGTCACTCTGACATACGTTACTGCTCTACGAGTCACTCTGACATACGTTACTGCTCTACGAGTCACTCTGACACACACGACGCTACGAGTCACTCTGACATACGTTACTGCTCTACGAGTCACTCTGACATACGTTACTGCTCTACGCGTCACTCTGACACACACGACGCTACGAGTCACTCTGACACACACGACACTACCAGTCACTCTGACATACGTTACTGCTCTACGAGTCACTCTGACATACGTTACTGCTCTACGAGTCACTCTGACATACGTTACTGCTCTACGAGTCACTCTGACACACACGACGCTACGAGTCACTCTGACACACACGACACTACGAGTCGCTGACACACACGACACTACGAGTCACTCTGACACACACGACACTACGAGTCACTCTGACACACACGACGCTACGAGTCACTGACACACGGCACTACGAGTCACTCTGACACACACGACGCTACGAGTCACTGACACACACGACGCTACGAGTCACTCTGACACACACGACACTACGAGTCACTCTGATGTCAGCAAAGTTGCTGATCCCCTTACATGTGTTGTATGTATAGATTAGTTGAGTATCGTAGTACCATCCATGTGCTTTATATAGAAACTCCCTAGGCCGAGTGACTGTATGACATCACGGGATACAGCTGGAGTCAGTGAGACGCGCTGCCTCGTCCTGACTCGACGGACCACCTACAAGCAGGCAGACCAAGGCAGGCCTGGGCTCCCACCTCTCATCACAGTCTGACAATACATAGTGTTACCATCCAACAAGTGTGTCTCCCTTCAACCCTCGTTTCTCCTACCGAACCCCATACGACACTGACACACACGACACTACGAGTCACTGACACACACGACACTACGACTCACTCTGACACACACGACACTACGAGTCACTCTGACACACACGACACTACGAGTCACTCTGACACACACGACACTACGACTCACTCTGACACACACGACACTACGAGTCACTCTGACACACACGACACTACGAGTCACTCTGACACACACGACACTACGAGTCACTCTGACACGCACGACACTACGAGTCACTCTGACACACGTTACTGCTCTACGAGTCACTCTGACACACACGACGCTACGAGCCACTCTGACACACGTCACTGCTCTACGAGTCACTCTGACATGCATGACGTGAGGGATACCTTCACTGCTGTACGAGTCACTCTGACATGCATGACGTGAGGGATACCTTCTTCACTGCTCTACGAGTCACTCTGACATACATGACGTGAGGGATACCTTCTTCACTGTTCTACGAGCCACTCTGACATGCATGACGTGAGGGATACCTTTTTCACTGCTCTACGAGTCACTCTGACATGCATGACGTGAGGGATACCTTCTTCACTGCTCTACGAGTCACTCTGACATACATGACGTGAGGGATACCTTCTTCACTGTTCTACGAGCCACTCTGACATGCATGACGTGAGGGATACCTTTTTCACTGCTCTACGAGTCACTCTGACATGCATGACGTGAGGGATACCTTCTTCACTGCTCTACGAGTCACTCTGACATGCATGACGTGAGGGATACCTTCTTCACTGCTCTACGAGTCACTCTGACATGCATGACGTGAGGGATACCTTCTTCACTGCTCTACGAGTCACTCTGACATGCATGACGTGAGGGATACCTTCACTGCTCTACGAGTCACTCTGACATGCATGACGTGAGGGATACCTTCTTCACTGCTCTACGAGTCACTCTGACATGCATGACGTGAGGGATACCTTCACTGCTCTACGAGTCACTCTGACATGCATGACGTGAGGGATACCTTCACTGCTCTACGAGTCACTCTGACATGCATGACGTGAGGGATACCTTCTTCACTGCTCTACGAGTCGCTGAATTGTAAAAAAAATGGTTATAACTCTGACAATAATTTTTAAAGGGGTGGACCAGTAAGCCAACGGAAGGCCTCGGTCAGATGACCAAAAGCTCCAACGGCGAGTCATCATCTAAGACCCGCGTCAGGAAACACTTGTCCTGTTTCCTGAAGAACCTTACTGAGTCGCTGACACCCACAGGTTTGGCACTTCACATAAATATAAGAATGGTCATTACCGGTGCAGTGATTGAACAGTGATACTGTGATTGAGTACTGATACTGTGATTGAGCACTGTCACAGTGATTGAAGATTTAACTTTAATCATAGGATTTTGCTATACGTGAAGGCA